TTGGGGTCTAGGCCCGAAACGTCAGCCTTCCTGCTCCTCTGATGCTGCTTGGCCTGCTGTGTTCATCCAGCTCTACACCTTGTTATCTCAGATTCTCCAGCATCTGCAGTTCCTACTATCTCTGAAACATATATTTACTTTGCAGATTTACATTTTTTTATGTTGTTGCGAAGACTAAATTCTTGGGCCAAACCTGTTTAATGTTCTATTTGAAGATTGAGTTTCTTGGGTCTGAATAATAGCGATATCAAGTTGAAGACATTATATCCGGCACAGAGTAAAAAACTTTCCTGTGAATTCCAGAAATAAATGTATCTTAAGAGATAGTGGCCCCATGTTTTTAATGTGAAGTTTCACATACTTCCAATATTTCCTTTCCTTTTTTATTATTCTCAGATTTGGCATCCCTCCAAAGCCAGCATGTGTTTCCCTCAGAAGGTGGTGGTTGGGCACCTGAATAACTTGCTAGGCTACTTAACAGAGCAGTTGAGTCAACCATGTTTATGTGGGACTGGAGTCACATGTATACCAGACTGGGTAAGGAAAGCAGCTTTCTTTCCCTAAAGGACATTAGTGAATCAATTGGGATTTTATTTCAATTTGATAGCTTCACAGTCAGCTCACCTGATGATAACATAGATATCCAGATTTTTAAAAAAATAGAACTTACATTTGCAACACATTCTTGTTGGATTATTGACTAAACACTATCTATTACTGTAGATGTTCAAGTATTGTGCAGTTCATGAATTGATATAAGATTTGAAAAAAGTTTTTGTTACCAATAACCTAATATTGAATAAAATTATTTAATAATAATTAACTATGACATTCAATTTGGAGTTCAGACTATAGCAGGTAAAAATGTTTACCTCTTGTTAAATTTTAATCTGATATCTGGGAGTTGCAGACAGAATGGGCAATAGCTATATTATATTTGCACATATCAAGAAATTTAAAGGTGGACAATGCTTTGTGATTATATATGATGTGGAAGTGCCAGTGTTGGACTGGGGTGGAATAAGTCAGAAGTCATAAGACACCAGGTTATAGTCCTGATGAAGGGGCAGCACTCTAAAAGCTTGTGATTCCAAATAAACCTGTTGGACCATAACCTGGTATTGTGTGACTTCTGACTTTGTGAATATATAGTTATTCAGATTGAAGACTCAGTTATGGCTTTTGTCACTGCAGTGAACACCACTTACATGGGTAAATTTATAACTTATGACAGACAAAATTAATTAAAAATAATGTTCATCAGTTACAGTAGACATCAATACTCAGGATTCTTTCAATTCATTGTGGTGTCCAGAATTAATTTGCTCTCTGTAATGATGATAAAATCATACAATACTTGCACTTTGAAGTTTGAGTTGCTAGCAGAGTATGAAGCCAGTAATATGTGGTTTTGTTGCATTCATGCTTATAAATATTTTACAACTGTTGTTATTTAGCTAATTTGTCAAAATATTTGTAGATTTGTATACATTTTAAACATTTTTTAAAAATTAGGAATATTTTCATTAGCCAACTATTGACTTCCTTATTTCAATCTCTCATAACTATTTTGTTTGATATTTTCTCTGTGCTTATATTGTGAAAATATTGCAATGAACTTCCAGTTTTATGTTAGATATGGACATAAAAAGCAACATACATTGATTTCACAACATAAATTAATCAGGTTAATTCACTGACTTCAGGTGGAGTGCCCAATCATATGCTAATTTGCCTCAAGCTGTTTATATTTATCTGGCTGTGAATTTAATTTCCCATTACTGTATATAAGTAAATTTGCAGTTAGGTCATTTTATATGTATAATATCGTAATTACTACAGCTGAACTGACTGAAGGCACCTATTGTGGTCTCTCTGCTTTTCCCAGCACAATGCTGGTTGATCATCGTTTAATATTAAGCATTTCATTTGGGATTTGACTTCATAGCCAGGTGTCCATTCTGCAGTTAACTCTTTCCATATTTCTGTGTTGGGGATTGATACTGATGCATACTGGCTTTCCTGCACCAATCGCTGAATTCCTCTATGGCTAGTAAGTCCTGTAATGGGGCTCAAACCTTGGGCCTTTTAGCACAGTGACAGCAGAACTACCAGCTGTGCCACTTAAGCTTCTGAAAAAGACTTGCGCTGAATCCCCTGCCCAGAACAAAATAATTGCATCACAACCTCAAAGCCAGCATAACTCAGATCAAAACTGAGGGTAGATATGTTAATCTTTGTTGAGATACTCAGTTTGCTATAAACTGGAATACATTCATTGAACATCAGGATGAAAAGAATCAACTGATCAGCATTATAAGGAACCTTAAAGCCAACTACTCTGTGAATAACAAGGTGTAGAGATGGATGAACACAGCAGGCCAAGCAGCATCAGAGGAGCAGAAAGGGTGACGTTTTGGGCCTAGACCCTTCTTCAGAAAAATATACTTTATCTTAATAATAGATTAAACATTGCATGACAATATCATATAGTATTCCTTAATTAAACACAAATTCATAATTTTATACAATGCAGAGAAATTCAATTTGGTTAACTCTTTTTTTCCCTAGTGGAAGCTGCAATGGTATACTGGGCGTGCAGCCTTCTATAATATAATAACTGTTAGCAATAAAAGCCTTACACAATTTAGAGAAAGATGACAAATTAAAGCAATGATGATTAAACACTGCACAATATAGCTCAGGTTGGGGAATGACTGAATAATCAGTCAGAGTAATCACGGTTGCTCAGTGGTCAGTACTGCTGCCTCACAGCGCCAGTAACCCAGGTTCAATTTCAGCCTCGGGTGACTGTCTGTGTAGAGTTTGCACATTCTCCCTGTGTCTGCGTGGGTTTCCTCCGGGTGTTCTGGTTTTGTTCCACAGTCCAAAGATGTGCAGGCTAGGAGGATTGCCCATGCTAAATTGCCCATAGTGTTCAGGGATGTGGAGATTATGTGGGTTATAGGGGGATGGGTCGGTGTGGACTTGTTGGGCCGATGGGCCTGTTTCCACACTGTAGGGATTCTATGATATGATAAGTGATAGTAGATATATGATTTTTCTTGTTTTGGCCTTTTCAGTCAGCAGAATAACTGACAGAGCCTGGGCATTGATACTTTACAACGGCTGTAATGTTAGTGGTGAATTGATCAACCATTTTAAATTGTAGATTACAGTGATGGTAACTTTAATTAAAAAGAAAAATTAACATTCACGTAAACATTTTAGGAAGTCATTGTATACACATGTTTTATGGGGTCAGTTTGGTCTATCAGTGAAAAAACATTGTATTTGTCTGATCAACAAAGCAAATGTACTTCACCACAAACACTATTCAAACTGACCTCATAAAACATATGTGACTTCCTAAAATATTTACATGAATGCACATTTTTCTTTTTAATTAATGTTACCAACTAAATACTTCTTACATTAGTAATCATTATTTTAGTAGGTGTCCTTAAGCATTCATTTCTGGATACTGTATAGGGATATAAAGAAATGATGATGGAAAAACTTGAAAGTGATTTTGCGACATGGTAAAAATATTTCTTGAGAGATTTTACAAAAGGAAACAAAAGGGAAGAGTGCAGATGATTTACTCACAGCTTTACAGTGTTTTATAAAGTACCGTGTGAATAGTGCTTGCTTGAAGAAGTGATCTCTGATCGTGTTTGACAGTCAGCAAAGCTTCTGTATATTCTTGTCCTTACATTTGAGATAGTAGAAAAAAACAGGAGAAAGTGAAGTCATTAAAACACAATAAATCATTTGAAACTAACCTGATGGGAAAGGAAATGTAGATGAAATAAAATAGGCGACCTCCGTGAGCTTACAGTTGTACCACAATCAAAAGCAAAGCCATAAGTAGAGACTTGATTGAAGTCTATAAATTATGAGATGAATAGATACGGTTGACAGTCAGAATCTTTTTCCCAGAGTTAAATGTCTAATATTAGGGGGCATGCATTTAAGGTGAGAGGAGGAAAGTTCAAAGGAGATGTGAGGGGCAAGGTTTTTGCAGAGTGGTAGGAGTCTGGAACACAGAGTGATGGTGAAGGCAAATATGATAGGGGCGTTTAAGGGACTTTTGGATAAGCACATGAATATGCAAGGAATGGAGGCACACGGACTGAGGGCAGGCAGAAGGGATTAGTTTAATTTGGTGTCATGTTCGGCACAACATTGTGGGCTGTACTGTTCTTTGTTCTATGTAGGGGCAGAAAAGTAAAAGATTACCAGAACTGTGGGTGTCCTTTGTTGAAATTGCAAAGTGCTATACATTTCAGAGCAAAAGAAACTTGCAATTATTATGCCAGATAGTCAAGGGAGAAAACAAGAAATACATTCCTGGTTAAACACAACAGAAGGTTTAAACACCTGGATTTTCAGTCTGTCCATTATGAAATGTGAAACTAATTTCCAGATCTATGCAGGAGAGCTTCTGACAATCCTTTGGTGTCTCAGTAGTTGAAAAGTTAATGATTACTTTTCAGGCCTTGTCACGATAGAAACAAACTAAATTCCTCTATCAAGCAGGACATAATTGTATCTGATAAGCTCTGGGGTTTCCTGCTGAAGGAGGTAAAAGTGGAGGAAAAATAAATCTATAATATGCAATGGTTTGCTGCATAATTCAAATTGATGATTGCATATCATGTTAAACCAGAACAGGTAATTTCAGGACCACAATTTCAGTTCTGGCTTTTGATATGCTGCTGAAACAATATGGATTATCTCACAGCATAATAAACCCAAGCTATCCAGAAAGTAATGCCTGGGGGTGGGTGGAGCAATACCCAAAAATAAAAATGATCAGAAACTTGGGAAGTTACAAATTGAGATTTTTAAAATGCATCACCCTTACTAACCAATTGTCTTTCTCTTGCGGCCCCCAATATCACGTGTGTCAACCTTCAACCAATTCAATCCACTAAAAGCCAAGTAATGTCTCAGAGGTGAATTGTAGAAATAAGGTATGAAGACCGCCCTTGAGATCAACCCAGCATTTCACTGAATTCAAACATATGAGTTAGGAGCAAGAATAGGCTATTGGGCCCCTTGAACATGCCCGGCTATTCTCTAAGACCATGGCTGATCCACATTTCTACCTAGCCCCAATTAATGTTTACCTCCTTGCTTATCATGAATCTATCCACCTCTGCCTTAGAACTACTCAAAGACTCTGCTTCCACTGCCTTTTGCTGAAGAGATTCATTTCCTCGCAACTTAGAAATATCTGTCTTAGATGGGTGATCCCTTGCTCGAGGTTCTTCTGTCAAAGGCCATTGATCTGCCGATGCTTTATCAATGATTGTCCTTACATCAGATAAGATCAGAACTGGGACTGAAGAATGCACAGACATCAGTTCTATTACAATTCCTCTGATAATGACAGTCCCAAACCGCAATCATCAAGACCTGGGAAACATCCAATCTTGTACTGATAAGTGCAAATATCATTCGCATCACACAAGAGCCAAGTAATGACCATTTCCAGCAAGAGGAAGCCCGACCATCTCCCCTTCAGATTCAACAAATTATCATCACTTAATGGTGTGAAATCCAAGTACAGCCCTCTCATTTTCACTGTTGTACATAGTTATTACTACTTAAAAACATTCTTCTGATTTGATAACCAATTTTTAAAGGAAAACTGTGTTTGAAACGTTTCTTGCAGGTACATAAGGGATGGTTCAATAAATACGATGAGAAGAAAGTTAGCAAAGAAAATGGCAAGAATGAAACTACCAGGACAACAATTCTGTTTGCCTTGAAAAATGAAGTTGGTGGGCTTGTGAAAGCCCTTCAAATATTTCAGGTAACATTTATATTGTTCAGAGAAACAACTGAAGATATCACGTTTACCTACTGAAAATTAATTGCATTTACCTATAATATATTAAAAGGTTGCATGGACTCCCTATCTACAAAACCATATTCCTTCTCATTTTTGCTAACATTCTCATAACAACAAATTCCTATGCCCACATTTGCATTGGAAACTGTTTATGTAAAAATGTCATGCTAAAATTCCACCATCCTGTCTGTGGTAGTAATGTAGTGCTGTAGCTTTGCCCTTTAGCTCCATTCCCTATCACTTTTGAGAAACCCAAACTTGAAAGCAAAACACTTCTGGAAATCTTAAATAAAATCAGAAATTGCTGAGAATAATCAACAGGTTTTGTGGCATCTGTAGCGTTAAAGGTTCAGGTCAATGATCTTTCTTCAGAGAACACCCCATCTCTGTATCCCAGATTTCCCAACATTTGCTAGTTAACCCTAAACTTAAATCATAGAGTGTTTGTTCAAAATGAAGACAGAATGTTTAAATTACAGCATGAACTATGACTGAACCTAGTCGAATTCTGCCTCAACTCTAACACCACTTTTGCTTAACACACGCTTCATTTTGAGTCTCCCTGTGCAAGTTCCAAAATTTTGAATTAATTTCTGTTTTATCAGGACAAACACATCAACCTAGTTCATATAGAATCCAGGAAATCAAAGAGGAGAGCTTCAGAAGTTGAGATATTTGTGGATTGCAGCAGCACAAAAGAAGATTTTAATGAACTGATTCAGTTATTAAGAGTCAACACAAACATTATTTCTCTGAATCCACTGGCCAGCAACTGGACAGAGGAAGAAGGTATGAGTCACAATCCACACCTTCTTCTGTAATGGGCATGGTGGTAAGAAATGAATCCTTGCACCTGGGTGCTAATGTAAATTTTACTTTTTAACCTCTGGGACCCAAAGCACATTCAGTGACTGTGGCAGGTATGTCAACAAGAGAACCAGAAATTGCTGTAGAAACTCAGCAGGGCTGGCAGGACCTCGGAAGAAGGCCGCTGGACTCAAAACATTAACTCTCTTTCCTCTCCATAGGAGCTGTCAGATCAGCTGTGTTCCTCCAGCAATTTCTGTTTTAGTTTCAAATCTTCAGCATCTGCAGTTCTCTGTTTCAGTTCAGATCGATAATGAGAAGTTGTTGCATATTGACCATTTCTATTAGATTTGAGTGCGCTCGGCAAAATTGCTCTGGGGGATAATTTACACTTGTCATTGAACGAACAGATGGAAAAGAATTATGCTTCCGAACTTTCCTTACCTAACAGGGGTGAAATTGCACGAATTTCATGTTGGAAGTCATAGAACAGAAAGATAAATTTATTTTAAAATTCATTATAGTGGGTGTCGTATGAAAAATACCATTGTGCCTTTAGCATAGTGGCTGGCTTACTGTAGTCTTGTGACCTCTGCTGTTGCTTTGTGTAAATTTGTGTGCAATCTGCGTCAGCTATTGAACACACATTACTTGGAACATGGTGTCAGTGAGGAGCAGTTGAATAACTGTGGATTTTCAGAGCTGCAAGAGAGCCAGATTCTATGGAAAAGACATCAAGGAATGTCCAGGTGAACATGTGTAGATTTTCAGAGCTGTAAGACAGCTAATGACTGAAAGAGAGAAATAAACAAACATCAGTCTGCAATGTTACACTCTTAATTGAGTAAAAATGGCTACAGACTTTCTACTCCATGCTGGTGTGGAAATGAAAGGAGATGTGAAACAGAATTGGATTTTTTTTTATTCTCAATGGCAAAATTACAAAATAGCTACAGAATTAATTAAAAAAAAAGTATAAAAGTTGCAAATCTGCCATTGGTGCTAGGGACAAAAAACCTATTACAAGCCAAATTGCAACCTAGATGTCAATGGACAGCAGAAATGTCAGACTGCAGAAATTTTGAAAGCTTTGAAAATACACTTTGAACTCCACGTTAATGTTACATAATAATAGTGTTTGTTCAACATTGGCACAAGGGGAAAGAGAGACTATTGATCAGTAAGTGACTTGTTATCACCACATCCCAGGAGAGGTTCCACAATTCATTACAATTCCAGATGGGATCCCTCAAACTGTTAAGGTCCAGGGTGAGAAGGGACAAACTAGCTGTCCTTCTTTATTCATCCCCTCCTATGGGGGTTACAACAAGATTAATTTAAAAATGATCCCTTCCCTTGTGGATATGTTTCTCCCAGATTCAAAATAAATTGTTTTCTAAAGAACTGAACATAATCACAAACCTGTCCTGTTCCTGGCCCATAAAGAGTCATAGAGTTATACAGCATAGAACAGACCCTTCAGTCCAACTTGCTCAGATATCCTAAATAAATCTAGTCCCATTTGCCAGCATTTGGCCCATTTCATTCTAAACCCTTCCTATTCATATACCTATTCAGATGCCTTTTAAATGTTGTAATTGTACCAGCCTTTATCATTTCCTCTAGCAGTTCATTCATACACGCACCACCCTCAGCATGAAAACGTTTCCCCTTAGGTCCCTTTTTAAATCCTTCCCCTCCCACCTTATACCTATGCCCTCTAGTTTTGGACTCCCCCACCCTGGGTGGGGGGGAGGGGGAGGGGGAACCTTGTCTATTCACCCTATCCCTGCCCCTCATGATTTTATAAACCTCTATAAGGTCACCCCTCAGCCTCTGACGCTCCAGGGAAAATAGCCCCGCCTATTCAGCCTCTCCCTATAGCTCAAACCCTCCAACCCTGGCAACGTGCTTTGTAAATATTTTCTGAACACTTTCAAGTTTCACAACATCCTTCCTATAGCAGGGAGACCAGAATTGCACTCAGCATTCCAAAAGTGGCCTAACCAATGTCCTGTACAGCCACAACATGACCTTCTAATACTCAATGCACTGTCCAATAAAGGCAAGCACATCAAACACCTTCTTCACTATCCCGTCTACCTGTGACTCCACTTTCAAGGAACTATGAACCTGCACTCCAAGGTCTCTTTGTTCAGCAACACTCCCCAGATCCTTATCATTTAAGTGTATAAGTCCTGCCATGATTTGACTTTCCAAAATGCAGCACCTCATATGTATCCAAATTAAACTCCATCTGCCACTCCTCAGCCCATTGGCCCATGTGATCAAGATCCAGTTGAACTCTAAGGTAACCTTCTTCTCTGTCCACTACACATCCAATTTTGGTGTCATCTACAAACTTACTAACCATACCTCGTATGGTCACATTTATGTAAATGACGAAAAGCAGTGGACCCAGCACCGATCCTTGTGGCGCACCGCTGGTCACAGACTTCCAGTCTGAAAAGTAATCCTCCAATGTCACTCTCTGTCTTCTACCATCAAGCCAGTTGTGTATCCAAATAGCTAGTTCTCTCTGTATTCCCTGTGACCTAACCTTGATAACCAGTCTACCACGAGGAACCTTGTTAAATGCCATATTGAAGTCCAAATAGATCACATCCATCACTTTGTTCTCATCAATCTTCTTTGTTACTTCCATAAAAAAAAACTCAATCAAATTAGTGAGACATGAATCCCCTCAAACATTGCAGCATAATAGCACTCAAAAATACTTGGAAAACTGAGAGCGTGCATAGATTCAAAGGATCTCAATAAAGCTTTGAAGTGGTCCCCATGCTAATTATTGAAGTACATTACTATAACTTGATAAGGCAATGTCTTTTCTTACCCCTGATATGAAGGGTGATTATTGACCATAAAGCTTGATGAAATGTAGCTTTCTAAATACATTCTGAACACCGTTTGGGAGGTACAGATGGTTGCACGTGCTGTTTGACATTTCCACTGCTCGAGGAGAGTATCAATACAGACAGCATGAGATGATCAGCTGTCTTCCCAAATCAGAAGCTGTTGTTCTGGTCTATGGGTGTGGAAACATGATGGAAGAAGGCATCACAGAACATGATTAGCATCTTGTGTGGCTGCTGGAGAGAGCTCACCAGTTGAACATGAAACTGAACAAGAAGATGTAATTGAAGATCCTGAAGTCAAGCATATAGGTCATGTACTATCCCTGGAAGGACTTTACCGGGATCCTGACAAGGTGTGAGCTGCAGCAAGTAATGATGTGAAAGCAGTGCAGTGATTTGTTGATTTGAGAACTGCTTATCAAAATTCTTGTTTAATTTGTCATCAGTGTGAACCTCTCTTCAATTGCACTGCCAAGGAGGTGCAGTGAAATTGGACAGAGAATAAGTAGTAGCCTTCAGTGACATCAAACAAGTAATGATAACATACTAGTGCTGTACTACAGTGCCAATGGAAATGGCACCTTCACAGTGAGATGTCAGTGAGACAAGTGGTGGAGCAATTCTCGTTCATCAAGGACCACCTGTTGCATTTGCTCCTAGGGCTTTTTTACACAAACTACACATGTTAGACCCAGAAATATAAAGACTGCTTTGTGGTGCCCTTGCTTGTGCACATTTTAATCAGTATCTGTTTGGGAGTTACAAAGTAGCAGTGGAGCCTGATCATAAGCTACTTCAAAGATCTTCTTCAAACTGCATCTTTCTGCTTCAAAATGTCTGGAAAGCATGTTACTTGATTATGCAGAGATATCATTTGGAATGATTGAGAGTAGGATGTCATCAACAGTGCTATCAAGCAGCACTTAGTCAGCAATAACCTCCTCAGTGTGCCAGTTTGGGTTCTTCCACGACTGCTCAGTTCCTGACCTCATTACAGCCTTGGTTCAAACAAGAATAAAACAGCTGAATTCCAGAGGTGAGGTGAGAAGACATGAAGGCCATTTTAGTTGAATGAGGCAAGAAGCAGCCTTAGCAAAGTTACAGTCAATGGCAATCAAGGGGAAAACTCTCTGATTGGAGTCATTCCTGACACAAAGGAAGATGGTTGTGGCTATTGCTGTCAGTCATTTCAGCTCCAGAGTATCACTGCAGTAGTTCCTCAGGGTAGTGCTTAGGGCCCAAACATCTTTAGCTACTTCTTCATCAATGGCTTTCCCTCCAATTGGAGGTTAGAAGTGGGGATGTTTGCTGATTTTTGTTGTCGTAATGCCCAGCCCATCCACGACTCCTCAGATGCTGAAGCAGCCTATGTCTAAATGCAGCAATAACCACATTTGGGCAGACAAGTGGTAAGTGCCACACAAGTGCCAGACTATTACCAAGAGAGAATCTAACCTTGTTGATATGTTCCTCATTTTCTTTGACAGATATTCTATCTTGCATTAATGGTGTCACCATTCAGCAATCTTGACTCTTGTGGTCTAATGGGTGACTTATCAGCTGTGGTGATTATTATTGTTATTGCTGACTTATTCCCATGAGGATTAACTTTATCTCTTGTGTGAATTCCAGTTCCTACCACGTATGAAAGCTTAAGAGTTTAATTTAGATACACGTGAGGAAAGTCAAATCATGGCAGGACTTATACACTTAAATCGTAAGGATCTGGGGAGCGTTGCTGAACAAAGAGACTTTGGAGTGCAGGTTCATAGTTCATTGAAAGTGGAGTCACAGGTAGACAGGATAGTGAAGAAGGTGTTTGATGTGCTTGCCTCTATCGGTCAGTGCATTGAGTATAGGAGTTGACAGGTCATGCTGCAACTGTACAGGACATTGGTTAGGCCACTTTTGGAATACTGTGTGCAATTCTGGTCTCCCTGCTGTAGGAAAGATGTTGTGAAACTTGAAACTAATTTGGAACAATTAGTTCCAAATTGTTGATACCGTTGTCCTGGTTCAAATTGCAGTTCCTCTATTTTGCAAGGCATTCCTGTTTTGTGCAGCTCATCTAAACTTTAAAATGGCCATTATGACAAGTTCCTTCATATTCTCACCCAAACTTAATGTAACAATGAGCCCATTCTAATGAAGAGGAAACTGTCCAGTCACTGGTTAGCTGTCAGCCCTTCTCAGGGGCAATGCTGACCAATTAAATGATTATGCAAATTCTATTAGTGTACAAGTTCTGTGTAAGATACATACATATATTACATTATGGCATTGTCCTGACCATATAGTTATAATCAATATCGTGAAAGAACATACCATTCTAACAAATTTGCAGGATGTAAAAGATTGATTGTTCCTCTATAAAGAAAGCCTCTTTACAAAAGGGACTATAGGAATAAATTTATGTAGCTCCCAGAAACGGATAACAACCTGCCCAGAAACTCAACGGTCACTAGATGTTTTCAGACTTTATTTGGTACAAGTGAATATCTGAGATGGGCCACTCTGTACCTGATGCCCAATATGCAGAGGAGAGAGCCTCTCGTGACCTCAAACCAGGAACTGTAGAGAAATTGTGACCCCAGCATTACTTTGGGATTACAAATTCATAGATTTTCAGGTCCAACCCTGGGAAAATTACCCCATTTTAGAAAATTACTCTGTTCATTCTAATTATGTAGCATGTAGAATATGCTGATGGTTCATCTGTGTTTGTACTTTTTAATGTGTAGAATTGGATGACATTCCTTGGTTTCCAAGAAAGATTTCTGAACTGGATAAAAGTTCCCAAAGAGTCCTGATGTATGGATCAGATCTTGACGCAGATCACCCAGTGAGTACTAAAAATGAGTCCACATTTAAACAGCAATATGGAGAATGGAGTTGCCACTAATCTCAGGCTAGCCTTTGTGATAGCACTGATATAAATGCAATTCTGTATTGTGCAATTAAATGCAATTGTGTCCAAAATAGTAAAGATTAACAAAATGAGTTTAGTTAATCTTTTGTAATTAGCTTAGCTCAGTTACTTAAAAAAAAATCTACCCCACCTTGATTCCAATGAGCAGTATTGTGATTATTTAATGGAGTAGTAATCTGGAAGCCTAGACTAGTAACCTGCTCAAATGTGAATTTAAACAGTCCCAAACCAGATGGGGAATTTATTTTTAACTAATTAAATAAATTTGGAACAAACAAACCAACACTAGTATTGGTGCCCATGAAATGATCAGATCACAGTCAAAACCCAACTGATGTCTTTTAGGGAAGGAAATTGCTGTCCTGGCCTGGTCTAGCTTAAGTGTGACTCCAGACCCGTAACAACATAGCAGAACTCAATTGCCCTCTCAGACAGCCTAACAAAACTCTCAGCTGTCACCTCAAACTTCTTAAGGCCTGTTAGGGTTGGACAATAAATACTGACTTTGACAGTCAGGACCAAATTGCCTGCAGAATTTTAAAAATTAGCTTTTGCAAAAAAAAAATTCCTTGGCTATGATCAGTACAAATTGCCGTGAAGGTGTTAAGATTCAGAGGCCTTGCCTACCTCTCCAGGTCAACACTGCAAGGGAGGCATAATGTTGTCAGAATATCATTGGACAAGTAAAATAGAAGCCACACTCTGGGACATGGAATATAATATTGGTATTAATTAAATATATAATTAAAGCTGCAATATAAAGCTACTCTCCAAAGTAGTGACCATAAGATTGCTTATTGTAAAAATCCCTGGTTCACTCTTGTTGCAGAGGGAAGGAAATCAGCCATCCTTCTCTGGTCTGGCCTATGTGTGACTCTGGATGCACATCAATATGGGTATCTCATCTCTCTGAGTAGACTCAGCAGAAATCACTTCAGGGAAAGTTAAAGATGTCAATAATTGCTGGTCTTATCAGTGATGCTCACATTTCATGAAGGGAAAGAAAGAAAACAAAAGGATAAAATGGATGTGATGAATGCAGGCTTCTAAAGAAGAAGAGAAAATTAACTTTAAAACATAAATGTCCTCCAATCTTTTCAGAAACGTGCAGGGCTATAGGGAAAGAGCAGGGAATGGGAACTAGTCAGCAACTCTTTGAGTGACTGATTCTATGAGAGATCATACAACAGGTAGAATTTCAATAGGTGTTTTCCAAACTCTCTGTAATTTTGGTGAACGATCACTAGATTTTACAGACTTTCTACCAAGCTTTCATTGATGTTTTGGTGAGAGATCTGGAACCCCTGTGGACATTGTATCTCAAACCCCTCATAATATAAACAAAACAAAGAATCAATTCAAAGTAATTTTTCTGATTTTGTTCTATTGTGAGGGGAGGGACTCACCTGTCATTTGAGCATGAGCTACACATAAACTTCAGATCATTGAAATAACTGGTTTTAAAAAAAAGGTTGCAAAAGGTGCTCCAGTTGCCAGTATCCTGTTCAATTATGAGTGTACCTCAACATGAAGCTGAAATATACTTGGGATGTACAAGAAAATTATAATGTTTCAGAGAAATTGTGTAACAAAAATAATTTTACAGCTTAAAAAATTTAAAGCTCTGATACTTCTGTTTTCTGTTTCTACATGGCTGTATTCCATGTGATCTGGACTTTCTCGATGAAGCAGTTAATGCATGAGCAATTGAAAATGTTTTCAGTGTGTAACATAAATTTGCGCTCTGTTTTCTTTAGCATAGGCATACTGTCTGCACTGAAAACAATTCAATGTTGTGCAATAATCTTTTAAAATGCCTTTGTCTTAGATTGCGTTTACACTTTAACAGCAGTGTCAGTGCAAAACAGTTTAGGGTTGCTACTTCACAGATGTAATCTACCTCTGTTCTCAGGGCTTTAAAGATGATGTGTACCGAAGTCGAAGGAAGTACTTTGTGGATGTTGCCATGAATTACAAAATGTACGTGTTGCCAGGTAACAATGAGAATTTCATTGATTCTGCCATAAAAATGCTGTGAATTGGGTTGTTTCCAATAAGCCATGATTTTTTGTAGACATTAAAGCTCATTTCATGTATTACTAGCTTTACCATCATAAGCTGTAAGCCTACTACAAAAGCATTATCCTATTGGTCTACAATCAATGGGTTTCTTGAAAGCTCCACAAATCTGATTTCAGGAAATTAGTGTTAATTGTTAGGCTGCAGTTGATAAGAGGCATTGAGCAGAGATGGGAGCAAGCTTGGTATTGGTAAATGGGTGAGCAGAGAGTCATTCAACTCTCAAATTCTAAGTACATCACTTTGCTTTCCACCTCAAGTTGCCCACCTTGCTTTTTGTTGTTGCATGAAATGTGTAAGAATTTCTATCATTACAGATAGACGATCTGTGTTCACGAGGGCATGCTAGCTCACCCCTCCATTTCCTGCATTTTAACACTGAATGTGTTACAGCAAATAAATAAATAATCATGCCCTTTGTTGCTGCAGTTCTTTCAATCCCAATACCAGCACTCAGAAACCCCGTCTCCATGAGGAGAGACAGTCCAATTTGATTTCCTCAATGCATAGAGTCATAGAGATATACAGCATGGAAACAAACCCTTCAGTCCAAATCATCTATGCCGAACAGATATCCTAGATAAATCTAGTCCCATTTGCCAGCGTTTGGCCCATATCCCTCTAAACCCTTCCTATTCATATACCCATCCAGATGCCTTTTAAATGTTGTAATTGTACCAGCCTCCACCACTTCCTCTGGCAGCTCATTCCATGCATGCACCACCCTCTGCGTAAAAACAAAAGTTGCTCCTTAGGTCCCTTTTAAATCTTTCCCCTCTCATCTTAAACCTATGGCCTCTAGTTTTGGACTCCCCCAAACTGGGGAAAAGACCGTGTCTATTTAACCTATCCATGCTCCTCGTGATGTTATAAATCCGTCAAGCTTGCACATCCCTGGACACTACAGGGCAATTTACTTAAATTGTTAATGAATCACTTAATTACGAGATAAAAGAGCCATTCTGATGTGGGAGAATAGCCCTAAAATAATCAGGAGGCTGTTGATGTAGCAACAGTAACAACAGAGGATATATGTGGAATGAGAATGAAAGATCTGTGCGAAAACATTGAATGTACGCAGGGAAATCTTTGCCAGGCATGTAACAATCAAAATACCTACAGAATTCAAGTATATGGCCTCTATGATAAGAACATTGTGAAGCGTATAATTTTAATTTTGTGCATCCTGTCTGGGCAGATTTGAAGGCCCTGTTGACTGACCTAAAAGGGTTGCTTCAGCATGCTACATTTTACCCAATGAGATCCTTGGACTTTCCTTGCAGCTTCTCTCTGTTATTAGCAAGTTGAAAGTCATTAGTCCTTGGCAATAGTTGCTGTATGTGGCAGAATCAATACATTTTGGAAGCCAGCCAGTAATCCAAATAGGACATGTATCACTTTAATTGCCAAATAGTGAAAACATCATGTGCACCCTGCTGGGAAATATACATAAGGTGTAGCATTTTCATGTGGGGCTCATTTATCATTTGATCATTTATGGAAAACAAAAACTGGTCCTCCTTATGTCTTGGATTTGCTTGTCATACTTGGTGATACCTTGTACCTGACTAAGCAGAGCTATCTGACCAATGGCCGGTGGGAATTTGAAAATGTCTCTACAATTTTGCAGTATCTGCTTTATTTTGTGTTTAAGCCAATATTGTAACCTACACATTGACATACTGTTCTGGAGTCTCTCTGAACTGTGGGTGTCTGCACATTCACTGTCCCCTGACAACAACGTGCTCCTTTTCAGTTACCCAGTGGCACGCCTTTAGTTATATCTGTGCACAGTAGGTTATCAAATATTGGTCTCTAGTGTTGTGTCTGAGATCTCTCTCCGACAGATGTTTGAGTCAAGTGAACAGTACATGAATCCCATTACTATATATCACAGAATCTTAATGTTCACATTGTTATTTTTTTTAAATCCAGAATTTTCCATCATTTTCACACTTCAATTTTGTTTTCCGTATCCTATTGTTGGTTTGAAAGAGCAGCAGTTTATCTGGATGAGTCAGTTTAAAGGTTTCACGACGGAGTAACCTTTACTGAAATATGACGACTGACTTTCTTCCTGCAGTATTAAAGCCTGTAAGAAAGCTGATTCCCAAGCTGCGCAACATCTTTTTAAACGCCAATTAACGGGTGAGATGTGGGTCACCACGAAAGTATTTAACAATCAGTTGACTGTGTTTAAAAGAAAAACTTAATATTCTGAATAATCAGACGGTGAAAGATTGCAGCAGAAATTAATCTCATTGTTCAATAATGTAACCTGTTGCTGCTCTCTAGTGGCCAACCCATTCCCAAAGTGGAGTACACTGAAGAAGAAATTAAGACTTGGGGAACGGTGTTCCGAGAGTTGACAAAACTTTACCCAACTCACGCATGCCGAGAGTACCTTAAAAACTTCCCTCTTCTGACAAAGCACTGCGGCTACAGAGAGGATAATATCCCCCAACTGGAAGACGTCTCTGTGTTTTTGAAAGGTATTTGAGATGGCGACTATTGCACACTAAAATGCCTTTTGTTTTCCCTCCTCCATAAATAGAGAGTGAATTCAAGTTAAAATGCGTTTGCTTCGTGTTTCAGAACGATCAGGGTTTGTGGTCCGACCGGTGGCTGGATATTTGTCCCCAAGGGATTTTTTAGCTGGCTTGGCTTTTCGAGTTTTCCATTGCACTCAGTACGTGCGTCACAGTTCGGATCCCTTTTACACACCAGAACCGTAAGTTTCTGTTTCCCAGACTCAAGCCTTTCTCTTTGGTCATTCTAAAACTTACTTGCGATTTAATTAGTAGCTATTTTATGAATTAATACGTTTCAATCATTTTCCAATGAAAGCATGTAGTAAACTATAACTATTACTGCAATGCATCATCAATGTTGCAAATATTAAGTATTCGATATAACAAGGTGTAGAGCTGGATGAACACAGCCGGCCAAGCAGCATCAGAGGAGCAGGAAGGCTGACGTTTCGGGTCTGGACCCTTCTTCAGAAAATGTCCAGCATCGGCAGTACCTGCTATCTCTTAAGTATTCGATAGTTTGATTCTGGTTTAACACGCATATGGAATTTTACAACCCCACCTTCGTTTGTAACCTTAACTTCTCGTTTTTATCTGATATCCCGAGGCCGTTCCTGTCTCTATGCTGAAGAAATGATTTTTTCTGATATCTGTTCCACTTCCTGTAGACAGCTGAACAGATTCTGCTCCTTATTGTATTGCCTTCAAAGAGCTGTACGTCTGTTCGTGGAGGGAACAATTTCCCATTGGAGGAACAGAAATATCAGTCTTACCCTAGAGACCAGTATCATCTGATTTTTCAGCTGCACTCCTAAATCAAGGACCAATATTAAATCATGGGTTACAATTGGAGGATTGATAAAAAGTGTTTTAACTTCGCACAATGGGAGCATTTGCAATACAGATCCCTCCTTCGGGGACTTTCACTTGGCTTCCTTGGAGTTAGGTTATGTCTTGGTGTTGGATTTATAACTGGTAGTTGGAGGACAGATCATTTTATACCAGCACTGCAATAGTAATGTAAATGCACATTGTAGTAACGTAAAGCAACACAATCCTATATTGATTACAAAATAAATACATAGTTTTATTTCTGAAGAAGAGTCCTGACCCAAAATGTCAACTTTCCTGCTCCTCTGATGCTGCCTGGCCTGCTGTGTTCCTCCAGCTCCACACTGTGTTATCCCTACTTTTGATCCTTTTTAATATAAGACCCCCTTGATTAAGGGGGTAAGCAGTTGCTGTGCACTTCACATATCTATCACTTTCTAGGGAGTTCATTGTCTAAATAAGCCTCTAGGAGGTTTTAAAGAGTGAGCTGGAGTGATAGACCTTTATGTTTATTCCCTCCATTTAGTCCTTAGCTGCAGGCCTTGGTTGGATGCCTCTGCCTGAGAGCACAGACACAACAATTGGTCTCCTAAGATACAAAGGAGCATGCTATTCCTGGTCATTCTTGATTGTTGCAGGACTGAATCCAATAAGCTAAGCTTTCTTACAGAGAGTACTGTTGTGCAGTGGTAGTTTCCCTACCTCTGGATCAAGAGACAAGGCTTCAAGTCCCACCTGCTCCAGATGTGCATCGTAAAATTTCTGAATAGGTTGAGTAGACAATATCTACAGATAGTAGAAAGTGGGTCAGCAGTGTGGAATTCCATGCAGTGAGTCAAACTTGCAGGAACTATGTCCTCTGAAATGCAAGTGTGCAGTTGGAGGGAGGTGCTATTTCTGCATAAACTCAGTCTGTTAACGGTGTGCAGCTTATGTTTCCTGCACACTGCCATTGCATTGTGATTGTACCACTGCACAGAATTATGATCTGTTATATGGTATGATATAGTCTTTTGTTGGCTAAACAATGGGCAGCCATTTGTTGGAGCAACATTTTTTAAGAATGCATAGCAGTAAATTTGTTGGTGCTAGCACCTATATCAATTTTGACTTTCAAACCTTCACCCTCAAAATAGATATCCAATGACCATTTTATATATCTGTTGGCTTGACCAGCACTCTCCTTTCCCTGTCACCAATTCACCATCACCACTGGACTTGGCAAAGGGACCCTGGTAGAAGCCTGTATGTTATTAGTTTAACACGAGGATCATGGTGCACCATTCTGTCCACATGATTCTGATGGATTGATGGTCAAATTCCTGTGATTTGTTGAATCATAATGACTGGGGCCGCCTGACTGCCGGCGGTCTTCTTCCATTTTCGTAGGCAGTGAGTGACAGTCTCGCTGTTTTGCTGTTGAGGACTTCATGGATCATGCAATGCTTAGCACCTACTCCTGACCATGTTGCTATGGGATTTTTGACTAGAATGTAGGTGCTCCCAACAGCTTTACTCAAAGGATGGTTAGAGCATGCAAACATCTCCTCCACATCAATTGGCGGTCTTCTGAGTTTCCTACGTGCTTCTGAAGCATTCCTGTTTCCAATGGATCAAAAGATGAAGCGTGCCCCAAAGGGGCAATGTTTTAAGCTGCTGTGTCTTTTCGCCATCTCCCCATTAAAATTATTGTACAGGGAATAAAACTAACATAAATTAATGGTGTTACATTTATAAAACTGTAATTGAGCAATTTTTAAAACTTTCTTGATATGTCTATGTACAATGTATATTTGTGCACATGTACCTGGTGAGGCCTACATATACATTTATTTAGCTATTATACCTTTTCAAAGTAATTCTCTTTTCAATATGTATTTTTCAGTGATACATGCCATGAGCTGCTTGGACATGTGCCTCTTCTGGCAGAACCAAGTTTTGCAGAGTTTTCACAAGAGCTTGGCCTCGTCTCTCTCGCTGCAACGGATGAAGATGTTCACAAGTTAGCTACTGTAAGTTACCTATTGATTTGGAATAGCTATGATCTAATTCACCCAAACATTTCGGGGTGCGGAGCCCATATGATCCAAAGCTCATTGTCCCCACTTTCCCAAGACCAAGGTTTATTGCCAGTTCAGCTGCATTCATTGAGGTAGCGTGGCTTTCATTTATCAGTATTGAATTGTGTGGGTTGGAATTTGTCCTGTTTTGCATTGTGGTCTTGCTTCTATTCCAGTGCCATCTTTCCTGTATTCATGGCTGCCCTACCAAGGGTCACCACTACTCAGGGATATAAGATCAAATTCATTCCACATATTTGGAAACAAGATCAGCAATGTAGCTACAAGCAAATGAAGTAGGGGGAACGATAGATGAACAAAAATGCCTCCGGTTTGCATTGATTATCCAGGGTTTACAGCCTGAGACTTGGAGTAGATGAACGTGGCTTCAATGGATCTATTGGAGGAAACTTTTGCCTCATTCAAGTCCTGGTATTAGGATTTCAACAATTTGACAACAATATTTGGGTCAATGGAACAATAACAATATAGAACTTGGTGATGTCAGCACACATGAAATAGAGTAGATATAAATTTACGTAATATCTAATAAAATCTTAAAGTCTAGCCTGAAAACCATTTTGGATTTGGATTGATTGAAGCCTAACAATATGATCATCTCTATAACATGAAAGGCTGTGTTTTTCTTTTCTGCTAATCTTCCTTTTACACTTCAGATTTTTGTGGGCTACCACCACTTCTACTAATCACTCCCTGCTATTTCTAACCAAGTGAAAGACCTTTGCCAATGAGTTATAGTGAGGTGACCTCCATTTAGTCAAGGCTGATTTTTCCCCATCCCCATGCCCAGTGAGATTGGCGGCTTGTATGAGAAGTTTATCTAATTTTTATCTCTTATACATTCATGGAATGTGAGTGTTGGTTACAAGGCCAGTATTTATTGCCTATATCTAATTGCCTTTGAGAAGGTGGTGATGAGCAGCTTTCTTCAACCACTCTAGTTTATCTGGTGTATGTACTGTTGAGGAGGGAATTCTGAGATTTTATCTCTGTGCAATGAAGGGACGAAAAGTTATATTGTTGCAAGTCAGGATAATTTGTTCCTATGTGTCTGCTGCCTCTGTTCTTCTAGGTGGTAGAGGTTGCAGGTTTGGAAGTGTTATGATCCCAGTTGATGTTATTACCAGATAAGTCGGATGCCAGACAGGAACATAGCTTGGCATATCATATTTTGATTTATTTTGGCTTATTCAAAGTAGTCTCTTGCTGAAACTTAAGCACACAATGCTGCAGGTTT